AAAAAAAAAAAAAAAAATAATAATAATAATAATAATAATAATAATCCTCTCCCTCAGGGCTTTTTATTCTCAGGGCAGAAACAAAGGGTAAAGTTTGAAGAGGAAATCTTTCAGCTGGACTCATAGCCCTTTCAGTGTCCTGCAGAAAAAACCCACAAATCAGCCCTAGCCTAAAACAAAGCCTACCACAGCTGGTGATAAAAAAGTTGGTCAGGTTGTTTAGAGCTCCTCACGTGGTTATAGAAGGAGAAACAGGCATTTTGAATGACCCAGTTATATCCACATTTATTACGGCTCACACCCCAAAGTACCATTTCCTTGGTTTTCACTCATCCCCTACCCAGCAGATATTCTGTCAACTACAGAACGAAAGTCTAGGGTCTGCTTTGTCAAAGGACTGAGTGCAAGCAGCTGAGACTTTATTAGGGGTAGTACATTACATGCACAAAACTTCCTATACACTTGTGACCGAAGAGCAACAAAAATGATGTTTGATAGATAATCGGGACCCTCCAGGTTCAGGCCCTTAGATTAGGCTTAAGGGTATATCCACGTTCTAGACTGTAACGCCCTCTAGATATGCCTGAGGTAGTCAGAAGCAAGCAGGGTGAATTAGTCCAGGCTAAATTCCAACTAGACAGCTTCTGCTATGCGAAATAGCTCTTTCTACACTGTGCTTACCCTACATATTACCACCTTCTTACTTGCCCCATTCATTTCAGTGGACATACTTGCATGTGAATTTTAAACTGCACGGATGAAATTAAAAGGGTGAGAAGGAGAACAAGGATTTTAAGCTATAAAAACTCACCTTGGGAGGTAGATTACAATTTAAAATTAAAAAAAAGAAACAACAACAACAAACTCAAGCTATTTATTTTATTGCTGTAACACTCCACAGAAAGGAGGGTGAAAACACAACCAGTGTACTAACCTCGTGCATCAAAGAATTCATCATCGGAGCTCTCCACAGAATCATTAATGACATGCTGCATGTGCCACTGAGCGCCACTGAACCTGCGGGTGCCAACTAGAAATAAAAATAGACACTTGTTAGCGCAACACAACGTGGGTCTCCTCTCCCAGCTAAAACAAGAAAAAAAAAAAATCAACGAATTCCTACATTGTTCAAGAGGATCATTTTGGCCAATGCGCATACTTTAGCCTAAACCAGAAAGCCATCTGAAATGTAGAATTTTCACTGCCATGAAAATCTCACGTACCTATCTCACTACACATCTCACACACATAACTATCTCAATTTGATTTTTTTTTTTTTAAAGCCCTCAGTTGAAGTTCAGTGGACACTTTCAGCTAATGGAGTGACTTGAAGAGACCAAGAAAAGAAAAATTCCACCCAGGTAATTTTTTAGACCATTTCACGTCCAAATTTGTTCTTGAACTGCGCAGGATTTTTTTACGGCAGTAAAACAGCATGTCCTTTTGGCAGCTAACATTTAAGCTAAATTTATTCCACAGCTTTTTGCAAACATATCGGACACAGAACACTTAATTTCCACTCCCTAAGCAGATTCCTCAAATGAGCAAAGAAAATTGCTTTCTTTGTTGTCAACCAAAGAAAAAAAGTGTTTCTCAAGTTTTCAATATAAAACTTAGCCTTTGAAGATAGGAAGACCAAAGCATTCTGGAATAGCAAAGAAAGTCTCATAGTAACAAAGCTCAGAAAGCCCAAACGTGTTATAAAAAGCATATGCAGATACAGAAAAGGAAAACTACCCATTCTGAAATCACTTCATTCATCCCTCAGACATCCCAATCTGTTTTACCTACATGCACTACAGCAGGGGCGGGCAATTATGTTGGGCGGAGGGCCGCTTACTGAGTTTTGGCAAGCCATCAAGGGCCACATGATAGGCAGCCAGGGGCACATAAATATTAATTTTCTAAATTTTTTAAGGGTCCCATGGGCCAGATAGAATGGCCTGGCAGGCCACATCTGGCCCACGGGCTGGATTTTGCCCACCCCTGCAGTAGAGGCTACCTGACAGTTTGGAACTGGGAAATGAAGAATATCTGCAATAGTTGAAATATGCCATGTGATATTGGTCTGGCCGTCTACAGATCACAGAGAGCTTTACCACATGCTGAGAGAAAGCTAGAAATTGTTCACAATTTTCCTAGGCTAATTAACATTACCCCAATTTCCCCCCTCTTTAATACATTTTACGTACACCAACTTTATTTAGTGTCCTGCCAAGGCATCGTAGTACAGCCCTACCTAGAGTATGTCAGTTTGCAACCCCCCATTCAAACCAATGGGAAGACCAGGATCAGAGATTCCACAGATGTTTAGGGTCAGAAGAGACTTCAGTAGGTCCTCAAGTCCGACCCCCTGCCTAGGCAGGAAAGAGCGCTGGGGCAGACGACCCCAGCCAGGTACTGGTCCGGTCTCCTCTTAAAGACCCCCAGGGTAGGGGAGAGCACCACCTCCCTTGGGAGCCCGTTCCAGATTCTGGCAACCCTTACTATAAAGAAGATCAGGCCCATCATTGATATTTAAAAGTAAATAAGCCAAGAAATCCAGATGAGCTATTCAATTTTTCATTTATATATGGATTTTAACAAAATTAATTTGTTTAATCTTCTATGCAGATGAGGCTATGTATCCGCTTCTTTCCTAGACCTCAACATGGATACAATAGACCCCTACATCTGGGGCCATATTTAACCTAAGAATTTCTGTTGGGGTGAGGTGGGGGAGAAAGGACTCTTCCCAGGTAGATCAGAAATCCTTCTTTAAACAAAAACCAAAAGATGTCCTTGTTCTCTCACACTGAGAGGAAAAAGAAATTCTGATGATCAAAGGCTTGAGCCTTCCCCTCGTGGAACCCAAATGGGGAAGAAAAAAAAAATATTCTGTCCTAAAGAGATGTGCTGATGGTCTCTGAACCGCTCTTTCATTTGACAGCTGCCTAATTGCCATGTTAATCTCTCACCGCAGCCCATGTAGGAATTCAGAGTGCAAAAACATTTGGTAGAAAATGAAAATGTTTATTACAGCAGTGCATTCGCACCTAGTTGTGTCAGCCCTACACTCCCATTACAAGCTTCTCTCGTCAGGGGGCTGCATCTCAACTCTAACGAGTCTCTTTGGGCTGACTATTGGCACAAGAAATCTGAGAATAAGAGACTTTTGGACTGAATTTCCAAAATATCCATCTGGCTTTTGCACCGCTAGATGTTTAACTGCACATTGACTGAAGCTGAAAAACACCTGCGCCTGCCAAGCTACATAATCATTACCTCGTCCTTTGGACATATCATCACATGCGAATAGACTCTGGTCTCTCTGGGGCAGGCACCACCTTCGTACTATGCATTCATGCATTGCTTTGTACAATAAGACTCAGATCTCTATGTAGGATCCCTCAGTGAGCCTGCAATAAAAGTATGAAGTAGAAGAGGGTCCAGCGCTGCACAGGTTGGTATTTATTACAACTCTAGGCTGTTTGGGGATGGCTGAATATGCCTATTTTTAGAGCACAGCAAAGTCCCTTTATTATTTCTCTTCCTATTCCCCCATCTCCACTGGTGAGAAATTTGCAAAAAAGTCTTTCCATTTAAAAAAATACCAAGAAGCAAAGTGAAATGTTACTACTGTAGGCATTATTATCTTTCCCTCCACTGCATTAAACCTACAAAGGATTGAATTCTTGGGATTGGATCTGAATTAAACCTGCTTGAGAAGGGAAGACGCATCCATCTACAGCAATGCTTTTTAAACAACAAGACACTAACTTCCCCCCACCCACACTAACGACATCATGAAAGGCAGCTGGTGTTTAAAAGTCTATTGCAAGCCACAACAAAGAACATCTCACTCCCTATACATCTGGACTCCCTCGAGGCCAACTCTTCTCCATCAACCTCTTGAAACACACTGAGATTAGATAGCATGAGCAATACATTTACTACATTTAAACAAAAATAAAAAGAACAAAAATTGTTTTGCTTTGAATAAGAGGTCACCAGCTTGAGAAACACCAACCTGGAGAAAGGCCTTACATAGCGAAGCCTAGTGCAACACAGCTATCCTAGAGGCTGGGTACACACCAAAATACCAACCGCAGACCAAAGCAGATGTGGGCGTACATTGTAAATCAAAATGACCTGCTTTTTTGAGGTCTGCTGCTTTGTGAACCAAGAAAATGGGACTAGGACTGCTCTACATGATGAGACTCAGAGGATACAGGTCTGATAAGGGTTCTTTGGGCCAGACTCCAGATGCAAAGCTCAACCATACAGGAGAATATTACTGGGGCACAGAGTCGGCACAACAGCTTCTACACTATCCATCTGAACCTCCTCTTGTAGAGGCAACATACACAGGATGTCCACATGTCTGGGAATAAACAGGATTTCCGCACATCTTGAACAGTTCCCAGCTGCCGGAATTTGACACAGTTAAGAACAGGGCCCCTAGTATTTGGCACTGGGGGTGATCAAAGAGTTGCTTGCACTTCAGAGCAAGCCCAAACATCAGTTGTTTCTACTGGGCATCTCAGGCCTCCTCAATCATTAGGAGCCTACAGGAATGTTATTCTACAGCAAATTCCTAACAGGACATTACAATATATGGACTCCTTCCTGTTAGCCTCTGGGAAGGAAAAATGAAAAGAAAAAAAAAAAAAGAACAACCCATATAAAACATATAAAGCAGCTCTTGGAAGAACAGGAGATCTAATGGAATTGTGGATACTGGATGTCAGAGAGACGAGACAAGTGTATTTACTCTGACGTGCCGTGACAATGGGGCAAAAAAATGTGAGATGATTTAATCGGTCAAAGAAAACTTACCTTTCTATCAAACTGGTATTGCTTTTTCCACTGTCCGGGTAACACTGTTACTCATATAGCCCGCTTGATATACATATAAAACAACGTGCATAAACTGACCGTGTCCCATTATAGCTATTGAAAATGGCATCCATGGAGCAACATCTTGCTAATTTAGCTTAATATTCAAAAACATGGAAATGCTAATTTTGTTCCCTATTAAATAATGTCCATTCACAGCAAAGCACTCCCAAATTTAAGAGGGCTTCCTTTAATTTAAGCTGGAAAAGCACATGAAGCAGGAACTAATTGAACGTCATGCCCAATTAATATAAAATTTGGGGACTCATGCTGTGTCCCTCCACAGTGTACAGCAAAATGCCTGAAGGACAAGCTACTTTATATTTTCTTTTTGGGATCAGGACTGCTTAAATTCTTTATATTTCCATTTCAAAACACGCAAGTGTTAGAACCAGTTCAAATGCTGGTATCACTAGCTTCATTGCTGTCATTCTCTTTTATTAACTGCATTTCCTGTGGATGGTAAGGTTGCATGTTGACACAAGAAACACTAACAAGCACATCTGAACATCCCACCTCAATCTGGGCCTCTGAATTAAGTTTCTTTTTCCTTTATCCACTAGCTCAGTTTGGGGGGGGGGAAACATGTAATTTCCTTCCCATGAGAAATTCTAATATTTTAAAAGTTGGTTTTCACCTCAAAATGGGATAAAAATTAAAGATAAAAAAATTTACACAGAACATTAAAAAAAAAATCAATTAAGAAACGTCAAGATGTTTTTTGACCTCTTCCCACCCCACTCCTCTTACTAGGGATGTAAATATTGTTTTAAAATGATCTGTTTAATCTCCTCTAATTATACCAGTTAAACGGTTAACCGATAATATGCCAGCTTGGACCTGGCTGCTTCTGAGAACCCTT